AAAGAGAAGGTAGTTTGGGGGTGCCTGGGTATGCTCAGGTAGTTAAGCATCTGACTCTTGATTTCACCTCAGGTCATGATCTCATGGTTTGTGGGTTCAAGCCCTGCTTTAGGGTCTGCACTCACAGTGCAAGCCTGCTTGGGATTCTCTCTGCCCCACCCCTGCTCGTACTCTCTCTCTCTCCCTCTCTCTCTCCGAATAAATAAACTAAAAAAAGAGAGAGAAGGTGTTTTCATCAGTAACCTTTAAGTTGTGATAGAAATCCTACTCCAGATTGCTAAAATATTATGTGGAAAAAATGTTTCATTTGCTCACATAATTAAAAAGTCTGCAGGTCAATCTGGTTTAAGGAAAAACTGGGTACTAGGGCTCAGTGATATCATTAGGATCTCCCCATGTTTCTCCCTCTGTCATTGTCTGTGTCTCAGCTCTGTTTTTCCCTATGTTTGCAACATTATTAGGCAGACTCTTCTCACATGATGACAAAGATGGTAATCAGCAACCTCAGGCTCACATTTTCCAGGCTTAATAAGTCCAGCAGAGAGTGCCATTTCTTTCTTCATAATTCCAGCAGAGTCTCAATTTGACTCATATTGGTACAGTTGTCTTAACCTGCCCATTTCTAAATCCACTGCTGTGCCTGTTTGGTCTGGTCTAGGTCATATATTCACCTTTGGAACTGGGTGAAGGATGAGGTAAGGGTATCCACTCTAGTACAACTACATTAATGACTTAAGAGGAGTTGTGATTTTCCAAAGGGAAATCAAGAAGCGGAATAAGATGTTGGGCTTATTTATTTATTTATTTAAATATGATTCATTGTCAAGTTAGCTAACATACAGTGTATACAGTATGCTCTTGGTTTCTTGGTTTCTGGAGTAGATTCCTATGATTCGTTGTTTACGTACAACACACAGTGCTCATCCCAACAAGTGCCCTCCTCAATGCCCATCACCCATTTCCCTCCCTCCCCTACCTTCCCAATCAACCCTCGGTTTGTTCTCTGTATTTAAGAGTCTTTTATGGTTTGCCTCTCCCTCTGTTTAAATAGCAGTTGTTCATTTACTGCATCTACTGACAAAACATAGCCTCAGATTTGAGTCACTTACAAACTTGTTGGGAACAGAATCATCAGATCCACTTTCCTCCTCATGTCTTCCAAACTTGGTCCATAAAAGTGGAACTTTCACCTCTTTATAAATATTGAATAGAGTTTATGTTTTTTTTTCTACCTTTCACTCACTGTTTTTATCAAAGAGAAGAGGTCACTTATATGTTTGGTGAGGTCAGGAAGAAAAATTGAATGTGTGGGACTCAGACTTTTCTTCCCCCACCACAATGTTGCCATGTGGTAACTGCTCTGGGCCTAGGCTTCTTGGTTCTTTATCTTGGTGCCAAGTCAGTCCAGTTTGATGTGGAGGAGGTTGAAGTGACAAGTATTAGAAGCCATTTGTGGCCTCAGATCCAGGCCACATTTTCCAAGCCTTATCAGCAATAAAGTTAATATTTTTGTCTTTGATTCCATATCTATTTTTCAAATGTTTGTAAATATAGCTGGGCAAAGGAAGATGACTGATGCTTCCTGGGTTGGTGTGCAGGGATAAGAAATACACCAAGTTAGGACTCAGATTACCTAGGTTTCAGAACTAGTAGTTGGGTCACTTCCTTACTCTGGGATTCAGTTTTCTCATTTATAAAACAAGTGAGTGGGCTCTGGAGAGCTCTGAGGGTATTTCCAGATCTAACATGTCATTATTATCATTGGTCAGTGAACTGAGCCTTGAAGGAAATACATGATTCAGACTTTTAAAGAGAAGGAAGAGAAGACTTACAGAGAAGCTCACAGGGATGAAAGCATTAAAAGAAAAGTAAATATGAAGCATAGAAAGAGGCAGGGCACTTTTCCAGCCCAGACATTTACAGGCTGATTCACCTTGACAACCACTTAAGTTTATGCACATAAAAGGATATAGAGGATTTGACATAATCACAGATAGGAGGAGTTTCACTGATGCATGACTTGAAAAATCCTCTACTGATCTTATGAACTGGTCCAATCTTAGTAAGGATTCTAAGCAGGAAGATGAAAAAAAAATCCTAGATATAAATATTTAAATGTCTACAATTTACATCTTAAAGAACAGCAAAGGGATGGGACCGTGGACTAACTACTTATAATTACTTTTCTTGCCTAGACTTCTTGTCCAATGAACACAGTGAATTTTTTTTTTTGATTGGCCTCCATTTTATAAGTTTAACATTGGTTTCTCTGAGCTTGTCTTATCTTTGATTCTGATTCCAGATCTAACATGTCATGGTTACGATTGGGCAATGATAAGAAAGCATAATATTGTATATTAAAATTTAAGATTAAATATAGAACTCAAGTTCTGCACCTAATGGCTCTGGGGGACCCATCTGGGTGGATCCCACTTATGTACCAGAAAAGCTATGAATGTGTTGATCAGGTCTCATCTTCTCCTCATATTTTCAGGTAAAAGCTCTGACTTCCTAACTTAGAGTCCTTCTGACTGGTACAAGTATACACTCAGAGACATCTTTTACATTTGTCTTTAGTGGTTTCATTATCAAGTTACTGATTATAAGGGACTTTTACACAAGGCCATAGTTAGTACTTGAAGGAGTAATTGTGGTAAGAAGGCATTTGTTCACCACTGGAGTCTATTATCTGGCTCAGGGTTCTTTCTGAAAAAGACAGCTGTTCACCAGCCTAAGGTGCATGGAAAGGAGGGCCTGACCTATTATCTAGTGACCTATGACACTAGAATACTTGCTAAACTCCAGTCAAAGTTACCACATCTTCATTCTTTAGCAATGACCCTGGCCTGTAGTCTTGAACAGTCTTCGTGACTACCACTCCCACAGCCCCTTTATGAAGAGATTGGCCCTAGGATTCTTTCTGTATAAAGTTACTAGAGCCTATGCCATATGCACTGAGAATGACTAACATTAGGAATATAGTTAACTCTAGCCATGATAGGTTGAAACAGAGATGTGCACCTTATCAAAGCCTACTATAAGACTGTTTGGCTTGAAACACTGCCTTATAATAGTGCCCTATACTAAAAGGTACTGATGGCAAGGGATAATATCCATAAAATAGACATGAAGAAGGTTATGTGTCCTTGTGGTGGATTATTGAGAAACCCAGCTCTTAGAGGCCCTATAGATATAGAGGAGGTAGGGAAGAAGGAGCTACATCTGAGGTTCTGAATGAACCTTGATAATCCAAATCTAGGAATTACTTGATTTTAAAATATCTACGTGGAAAAGAAGATGATATTTTCCATCAAGAGACAGAAGAGCATAAAGTTGGGTGCAGTCCCTGGAGCCAAATTGTCTATGTTTAGATACTATTTCTGCCACTTAGTAGCTCTATGACCTTCTACTAGTGACATCAACTCTCTGTGCCTTAGTTTCTCCATCTGGACAACAACAACAGTAACAGTACTTATCAGATGATTGTGAGTCTGAAATGAGTTACTACACATCAAACACTTAGAACAGTGGCTGGCACATAGTAAGTGATCAAAAAAATATAAGCTCTTAGTGTTATTTTATTCTGGCACTTAAGTGAGGCAGAGTAATTTGTTGAGATACTGTGTTTATTCTTCCTTTACTTTCCCTTTCTTGTATTCCAAAAAAGAATGGAATGCTTTCTTCCCTGAAGAGAGAGTGGGTTGTGTTGCAGGGTCCAAAGTCTGTCGTATTAAGCATGTTGTAAGGATTGTGCTCAAAGGAGGGGAAGGAAGTAGTTGACTTTAGAGTAGACAGAAGAAGAAGTGAGATTTCTCCAAGCCTTGGGAAGAACTGATAGTTGCCAGTTTGGGAGTAGTAAGATCTGGGGCCACCTCCTGGCAGAAGCCCTGGAGGTACTGTATCTGTGGTCAACTTTAGGAGCAAGATTCTTAAGTGCTGCGGCTTTCCCCTAGGCATGGAAGAGGTGCAACTGCTTGCTTTAACAGCACCATGCAGGCTTGGACTAGAAGGCATGATGGCCTGACGATTAGAAATTCTCTCCCTATTTGACACTTGCCACACAAAGCTCCTGAGTGTTTGTGTGATCCTAAGGAGTGTAGAAAGCTCCAGAAAGTGATTGGAATTTAATATTTTGCCAGCCTTGCAGCACAGAAATGTGCAGTTGAAATACATTTGGCTTAAAGGAAATGAAGAAATGTGATAGTTCTTCCATACCCAAGTTTGTGGAGTACCATTTATACTGATTACACAATAAACCATCATTGCCAAAAGTAATTTGGTTGTTTTGTAAGGTCTTTTCATTATAATGTTAGAAAGACTATATTATATATAATTTTGTGCTAAGAAATAAGTTACAAGGAAAAGATCCTTAAAGGGAATGAGAGGTCACAGGGGTGGAATGGGGAGCAGTGAGGATTCACCCATGTGAAGTCATTGCTTATAATGGTGAAGTTATTAATTAAGATGTCCCTCAGAGGTAAGAGAGGGCTTTGGGGCACATGGTATCTGCCACTTTAGAGTGTATATTAGTTTCCTAGGGCTGCAGTGACAAAGCACCACAAACTGAGCAGTTTAAAACAAGAATTTATTCTCTCACAGTTCTGGAAGTTGGAAGTCTAAAGTCAAGGCTTCAGTAGGGCCATGATCCCTCTGAAAGCCATAGTGGAGAATTCTTTTTCCCCCTCCTCTAGCTTCTGGTGTTTGTTGGCAATCCTGGGCATTCCTTGCCTTGTAGATATATCACTCCAATCTCTGCCTCCATCTTTACTTCCACGAAGCATCTTGACTGAAAGAAATCTCATTTTCCTTTATGCTGGTATGGCATCTAATCCTTATCTTTCTTGTGGTATTTATCTTGCATCATAGTTATTTATGATTACATCTGTAGGACATAACTTTTCAGCTGTCTGCCCAGACAATAAAATCTCTACCTTGGGAATAAGAGTCCAAAACAGCAGGGGGAGAGTTCTCTATTCATAGTACCCAATCATTGCCCCCTTCATAGCTAATTTAATGATGGCTGGGCAACTGACCAAATGGAATCAGTAAGATTATCTCCTTAGGAAATTTGAATTTGGAACTCAGGGATTCTACTGAGTCCCATTACTTTTGTTAATCCGAGGATATGTTAATCCAAGAATTGATAGGACTAGCAGAAAGCTCAGAGGAACAAAGAAAGTTGTTTTGAACAAAGAAGAATGAGTAAGTGTAGAGGGAAATGGCCGTACTGTTAGAAGAAATTATAGGGAAAAATCAGGATGTTGAAATTTACTACTTACTTCTTGTTGTTCTCATCAAAGTTCTGCAAGAGAGGAATTATCTCAAACAAGAACTGAGAAAGTCTGCAAGTAAACATAAGAAATACAGCGTTTCTAAGGTAAGTGCTTTCTGCCTGTGGACTATAGTCTAAATTGACCAATCGTTCCATAATTTGGAGACTTACAAGACTTAAAAGCAAATGGCTTCTGTATCTCAAAACTGAAGCTGGTATAATCAGTGGCAAGGAATTGGCAGCCATAGCTGAAGATACAAATGATGGTCTATGTCTTTCTCAAGTAGGTTCTCTTAACAGTTCACTGTCAGACCAAGGGAAAACCCCACTGACTGTGATCTAGTTATGAGTGATAGTTCACTAAGGTTATTTTAGAGATAGGGGAATGGGCAGAGTGCAGACATTGAGAACATAAAAAAAGATAAAAGAAAACAAAAAAATATACAAAAGGAAACACAGTGGAGCATTAGAATGGAGTCTGAGAAAATCCAGAACCCCCTGGTACCCCCCCAAGGGCTTACTCCTATTAAAAGGAGGGCCAATACCTCAGATGCATCTTAAATGAAAGAATATTAGCTATGTCTCCTTTACCCTGGGGTGACCTTTTTGTGACCTCAATGCAAAAGTCAAGATAAAGGTCATTTAACTAAGGGACTAAGGGCCTGAGCAGAGTCCTTTAGCCTATTGCTCAAGGACAGAAACATCTAGACTAGTGTGAAGATTCAAGGACATGAGTTCACATTTTTGCCTTTGACTACCACCCCATGAAATATAATTTAAACCAAAATCTACTGTGGTAGAATATAGAATGCTAGTTGCCTACTGCAATATCTCTTTTTCTCTTTCTTTAGTAACTGATTCCCAATATTTATCTGAGAACACTACTGTTTGCAATAAAAGACTAGACTGCATTTCCCAACCTCCCTTATTTTTAGGCATGGCCATACCTTTAAGTTCTGGTCAATGAAACATAGACAACGGTGTTTCATAGACCTTCTGAGGAGTTTCCTTAGAAAAGAAAGAGGCATGTCCTTCTTCACCTTTTCTTATCTTACTGCCTGGAATCTGGATATAATAGCTGGAGTTTAGTCAGCCATCCTGGGCCATGAGGATGCTGGCTATACCCTAGGAAGTGCATTGCTACAGAAAAGCTAAGCCTGGCCAAAAAACCCAAAGCCTTTTGATTTTCAACTCCTAAGGCCATCCCTACATCACTGAACTCACATCCTCAGGAAGAGGGTTTCTGAAATGGTGTAGACTTCAGAAGGGTAAACGTCTCTAATGCCCTTTCAGGAGTAGCAAGTAGGACAATGCACAAGGGAGATGATCTTGGAGAACATCTGAGACATCCAGCTGGGCTGACCAAGAACTCACTCTACTGCCGAGGAGTTCTTGGTGTTTATGTATATGATACATAAATCAATATGATATTGATTGGCAATCTTCATGTATTGTATCAATTTTTTTTGTATTTCCAAATAGGAGGTTTGATTTAGTTCATCCTGTTTTCCCTCTATTTTTAGACACTGACTATTTTGGATGTGGTCAAATGTACCATTTACCTATAGATATGAAATCATGGGGAGCTACATCAAAACCTGCTCAAGATGACTGTAAGTCACTGAAGGATCTTGGGCTTAATGTTGGGTGCACTTGGGATATATGAACTTGGATTATCTTTCTATTTAGAAGGATGAGTACACTTTCATTTGTGTATGGTATAGTGGCATTATATTAGTTGAAGACCTTCTGTAAATTGGGTCGACTATCAAGTCTGTATGTTATTTTTGTCTGTCCAACATACATTCCCAATTGTTCTGCAAACAGCACTTGGGCTTCCTTTGAGGGACCAACTCTCTCTTGCTGCCTCTCACTCCTTCTCTCTCTTTCTTTCTCTTTCAATCTACAACTTCTAAGCAGAGATGTCCCCTTCCCTGGTTAAAGAGTAGGTGCATAAACTCTAACTCTAACCTGACCAATTAGAATGTCCTATCCCCTGGCTTCAGGAATGGGCATGTGATCTAAGCGAATATAATCATGTGCCCAAAACTAGGCCAATGAATCAGCCATTAGAATTAGGCTGTAACTAAAAAAAAAAAAAAAAAATTAGGCTGTAACTATTGAGAACAATGCATTCTCTTCTTTTATTTTTTCCAACTTTATTGAGAAAGAATTGACACATAACATATAATTTTAAAGTGTACAGTGTGATAATTTGATACATGTATATATTGTAAATTGTTTGCCACAATAGGTTAGTTAACATATCCTTCACCTCACATAATTAGCATTTTGTTTTTGTTGTTATGGTGAGAACATTAAAGCTCTACTCTCTTAGCAACTTTCAAATATTATTAACTATAGTCACCATGCTCTACATTAGATCCTCAGAACTTATTTATCTTAAAACTGACAATTTGTACCTTTTGACCAATACCTCCCCATTTCCGTCACCCCTCAGGCCTTGGCAAACATCATTCTACTTCGTTACCATGACAACGTTTTTAGGTTTTACATATAACTGAAATCACACAGCATTTGTCTTTCTGTGTGACTTATTTCACTTAGTATAGCGCGATCAATGTTCATCCATATTGTTGCAAATGGCACATTTTCCTTCTTTCTCATGGCTGATTAATATTCCATTACACACATACACACATACACACACACACACACACACACACACCATCTTCTTTATTCATTCATCCACCAATGGGCACCAAGGTTGTTTTCATGTCTTGGAGATTGTGAATAGTATATTAATATCATATGATCTAACAATTCAGTAGGTACTTACCCAAACAAAATGAAAGCACTAATTTTAAAGATATGTGCATCCCTATATTTATTGCAGCATTATTTATGGTAGCCAAAGTATAAAACCAACCTAAGTATCCATTGATAAATGGATAAAGAAGATGTGATCACACACACACACACACACACACACACACACACACACTTGAATATTACCCAGCCATAAGAGATCTCACCATTTGTGACAACATGCGTGGACCTAGAGGGAATTATGCTAAGTGAAATAAGATTGAGAAATACAAATATCATACAGTTTCACTTATATGTGGTATCTAAAAACAAAACAAATGAATTCACGAACAAAAAGCAGAATCAGATACAGAGCACAAACTGATGGTTGTTAGAGAGAAGGGGGTAGGGGGGATTAGCAAAATGGATGAAGGGGATTGGAAGATACAGGCTTCCAGTTATGGAATAAGTAAGTCACAGAGATGAAAGGTAGAGCATAGGGAATATAGTCAATGGTATTGTAGTAGCACTGTATGGGGACAAATGGGAGCTACACTTGAGAGCACAGCATAAACTAGAGACTTGTCCAATCACTGTGTTGTATGCCTGAAACTAATGTAGCATTGTGTGTCAACTGTATTTTTAAAAAAAACCCACAATGAGGTATCACCTCCCATCAGTTAGAGAAGCTAATATTAAAAAAAAACAACCCCAAGAGATAACAAGTACTGGTGAGGATGTGGAGAAAAGGAAAGCCCTTGTGTACCGTTGGTGGGAATATAAATTGGTGCAGCCACTGTGGAAGACAGTAGGGAGGATCCTTAAAAAATTAGAACTAGTACTCTACTTTCTTTTAGATTCCTAATCTAGTTAGATGTAAGTGTAGACCTTCAAATAACAAACACAGAGGGAATTGGAGCTGAGAAAAGGAGAGTGGTAGATCCCTAACTTCACAGCTTGAGCACCAGCATACAGTTGTGCTTGAAGCCAACCGATCCCTGGATCTTTCAACTCTTTGACTTATTATGTCCACTTAAACAATCTTTATTTTGAATTTTGTCTCTTATAACCAGAAGAACTCTGGCAAATAGACATTATATCCTTATAATGTTCTACTGTTACCATTTTATTTATTCATTCATTCATTCATTCACTCCATTCATTCATTCGTTTATTTTTGAGAGAGAGAGAGAGAGAGGAGAGAGAGAGAGAGAGAGAGAGAGAGGGAGAGGGAGGTGCAGAAACAGATGGAGGGAGAGGCTCTGAACTGTCAGCACAGAGCCTGACTCAGGGCTCAAACTCATGAACCTGGAGATCGTGACCTGAGCTGAAGTCAGCCGCTTAACCGACTGAGCCACCCAGGTGCCCCCCATTTTACTTATGCCAAGGATTACTTACAGATAGCAGCTTGTGGGTTTTTTTTTCCTCAGTGCTATAGATGTTTTTTCCTCTCATATTTATTCTGCCATGTCTGATCTGCTTTTGAGCCACATGTGAGAAGCTAACTCCCATCCTGATCGTTGATGCTGTTTATTTTTTTTAAAGCATTGCCCCATTTAAAGAATTATTCTGGATAGTCCCACAGGGGGAAAGAATAGAGATGAAGGATTGGGGGTGGAAAAGACAAAAAAAGGCAAATTGAAAAAGAGATTTGGGAAAATTCCTGGCAGACCTAGAGGACCAAACAGAGGGAAGGACATTCAATTAGGAAGCTGTTGCTATTTTATTGTGTGCCCTGTACTCTCTCAGTGCTCTGAGGACTATGGCAGAACTTCAGAAAGAAATGACTGTGTGGTACAATTAGAGAGGTTCATCTCTAGGAACTGTGGCTCCCTGTGTTGCAAGTAGGATTCTTGTGCTCATGCTTGCATTGAAGCAACAGTGTCGCCTACTTTTTCTTTTTTTAATTGTGGAGAAAGACACATAACATAAATTCACCGTCTTAAAAGGAATGGGTAAAGAAGAAATGGAATATTATTCAGTCGTAAAAAGAGGGAAATCCTGCCATCACAACAATATGAATGGACCCCGAGGGCTTTATGATAAGTGAAATAAGTCAGACGGAGAAAGATACTGTGTGATACCACTCATATATAGAATCAAAATACATAAGGCGCACAGAAAGAGTAAAATAGTGATTGCAGGGACTGAGGGATTGGAAATGGGGTGACAATGGGTCAAAGGGTACAAACTTCCAATTATAAGAAGAATGAGTTCTAGGGAGATAATGTACAGCCTGGTGACTATAGTTAGCAATACGTTATTGTATCCTTGGCAGTTGCTATGAGCATTGAACTTTAATGTTCTCGCCATAACAACAATGACAACAAAATGGCGATTATATAAGGTGAAGGACATGTTAACTAACCTTATTGTGGTAAACATTCAGCAATATATACGTGCATCAGATCATCAAATTGTACACCTTAAACTTGCACATGTTATATGTCAATTATATCTCAATAAAGCTGGAAGAAAATGACCATCTTAATCATCTTTTAATTGTACAGTTTGGTGGCATTAAGTACATTCACATTGTTGTGCAGCCATTACTACCATCCATCCCCAGAATTCTTTCCATCTTTCAAAACTGAAATTATGTCGCCATTAACAATACTTTCCCATTACCCTGTCCCCAGCCCCTGGAAGCCACCATCTACTTTCTGCATTTCTGAATTTCACACCTCTAGGTACCTCACATATGTAGAATCATACAGTATTTGTCATTTTGTGAATGTCTTATTTCACTTAGCATAATGTTCTCAAAGATCATCCATGTTGTAGCACATGTCAGAATTTCATTCCTTTTTAAGGTTGAATAATATTCCATTGTATGGATATACCAAATTTTGTCTATCCATTTATCCATTGATGGACACTTGGGTTGCTTTCGTCTTTTTGGCTATTGTGAATAATACTGCTATGAGCATGGGCATACAAAAATATGTTTGAATCATCTGCTTTTAAAGAAACATGTAAGCTTGGATAATGAACATACTGAATAGTGTGGACATAAGACCAGAATACCTCTTTGTGAATGTTTATGACTGTGTAAAACCCTCAAGGACCTTGAATAAGCATCTGGTGGGAGGAAGAGGGAAAAGTTTTAAATTCTCTATCAGTCCATCAGATGGAGACTCAGAAAATTCAATTTGAATTGGAGAAATAGAAATTCCTTATACTTATTTTGTGGGGTATCTTCCCAGCTGCTGCACTGATTTGACTAAATTTCTATTATTTGCCACAAAATGAGAGTTAACTCTAACATATTTTTTTCCTCTCTTGGTTTATAAGGTCTTTTATAATGGAATCTACATCTGATAATTTATTTTTATTCTCCACAGGAGAAGTATAAAAAAAAGGGGGGGGTTAATTATATGAAACACCATTAGGAGATCTGTGATGTTCTGGAGAACAGTACGGAGGTTCCTCACAAAACTAAAAGTAAAACTACCCTATGATCCAGCAGTTGCACTATTAGGTATTTACCCAAAGGATACAAAAATACAGATTAGAAGAGGTACATGCACCTCAGTATTTCTAGCCACATTATCAACAATAGCCAAAATATGGAGAAAGCCCAAATGTCCATGACTTATGAATGAATGAAGATGTGGTATATATATGCGATGGAGTATTACTCAGCCATCCAAAAGAATGAAATCTCCCCATTTGCAATGATGTGTATGGAACTAAAATGTATTACACTAAGCAAAATAAGTCAATCAGAGAAAGATAAATACCATATGCTTTCACTCATGTGTGGAATTTAAGAAACAAAACAGATGAATATATGGGAAGGGAGGAAGAAAGAGAAGGGAGGGAGAGAAACCA